CATCAAGTGGAATGGGTATGCCTTGACATGTATACAGTGCTTGTTCATGAGCACAAGGCAACCCATGACTTCTACGCAATTTACAACCACACTTTTCAGAAAATACGCTAGTTTGGAAAAACCGTTCGTTTTCAGTGTAAATCATATCAAGTGCATAAAATGAAACAAATCCCCACAAATTTTGAAAGTGTGAGTTTCCAAATCGGTGTTTCCTAATCGTTCTACATTGTTCAAAACTTGCTTTAATCGATGTGTCCTGTGACTGGATTACTTGATGGATGTGAGATAAAATTCTTTGTAAGTCTGCTCGGGAAGTTTCCAAAAATAATTTTAGTTTGGAATGTTGGCTTTCAACTATGTTCCCGTATGACGAATGGGAATTATTTTATAATTGTAAGCTCCGCCGTGTTCACACATAAACACAACTTTATAAACATTTCCATTCGGCTTTGCYTTTGATCTTTTCGTAACAATAACACAACCAACTGAACGCCCCACATTGTGCACCCACTCGGTTATTTCTTCCCGAGAATTGAACAYCTGGAAAAAAAATTATAACTTTCATTTGTACAAGTAAGTATTAATAAATCTAAATATCAATTAACATAATATTGTACCTCGTTGGTGAAAAATTCTGGTGTTGTTATCAAATCTTCTCCCATACTTGATGTATATTGAAGAATGAGAGAGTGAAATCGAATGAACGATTAATTCTATAAGAGAGTGAAATCGAAGAGAGTGAAATCGAAGAGAGTGAAATCGTTCGATATATATATATATCGATTTTTTTTACTTTATTTCAAATCAATAACTTTACTTTATTTCAAATCAATAACTTTACTTTATTTCAAATCAGTAACTTTACTTTATTTCAAATCAGTAACTTTACTTTATTTCAAATCAGTAACTTTACTTTATTTCAAATCAAATTATTTTTACAATTATGTAAACAAGTACACATGTTAAAACGTATTTTGTACTTAATGTCGATATTATTGTTCATAATGTAACATRYTWCTTGATATATATAAGAGCTAATTTAACGTGACATGCTAAAACGTATTTTAGTTAATATAAAATTATGTATTTTTATGTGATAATGATGTAAAACAAAAATTGAAAAAACAAATGGCATATCATAAATTAAATAAATAACTATAAATGTAAATATTAAAAATATTTTTTCATAGTATATAATATCTATAATGATATAATTAAGTCAAAAAATATTCAATATTAGGCTTATTTCGAAGGTATTGACGTGACGATTATAATGGTGTAACTTGTTAAAATTAAAACGTATTTTTTAAACGTATTTTAATTGATATACGATTATGTATGTTAATTTGATCAGGGTATAAAATGAAAATTTTAAAAGGAAAAGGTATAAAGTAAATTAATTAACTAATTATAAGGGTATAAAGTGTAAATTTAAATTTTTTATATTAAAACCGTGTGAATGTGTGAGTGTGGTGTTGATGTGAGTATGAAAAAATTTGTGAGGCGGGGGACAAGGGTGCAAGGGGGGTAGAAAGGTGGTGCAGGGGGGTAGCAATATCAACCCCCTAAAAAAGAAACCAAAGGTAAGTGATGTGACAAAATGAGAATTGAGTATTTTTAAATATTAAAGGTGGTTGATTTTCATCATCTCATATCGGTAAGTAGATGCAAAATTGGAAGTAATGTCTCAATATATGAAAGAATAGTGGGTACTTTTATGCCAAATCATTAGGTTGGTTCAATTTGGCTCAACCCTCTTTTTACAAAAAAAAAATGTTTATATGCATAATTTACATAATATTTTTGTATTAAGTAATAAAGTTGGTTCATTTTAATTTTCTTCTATTTTTTGCAAAAATTCTATTCATATTAAAAAAATTATATCAGTTGACTTTAAAATAACAATGTAAGGTAATGGTATGAATATACTATAT